GGCTGCGTCCGAAACCGCCTACTACTCAGTAGGTACTGCATTTGAATTTAAACGTACTACTCGGCCGTTAGAAAAGTGCGCTCTATACAGTATGAATGTGAAAAGTATGAATGGAATTCGGACGTACTACATCCGCCATTTTGTCATGGTCATGTGACCTACCTGCGTCAGTTACGTCGCCTCACTTCCATTCATGAATTCTCTCACGGGGCATCATGGGATAGTGCAGCGTGCATGGGATGCGCACTACAGAATCTGGCCGGAAGTAGTAAGCCAACCGGGTACTTTTCGCATACTGATTTTCGAATTCTTTGAATTCGGACATACTACTCGCCTCGCCTACTGATTTTAGCATACTATATAGTATGGAAGTATGCGGTTTCGGACGCAGCCCACATCTTATGCACGCTGCGCTATCCCATGATGCCCCGCGAGCGAATTCATGAATGGGAGTGAAGCGACGCAAATAACGCAGGTAGGTCACGTGACCATGACAAAATGGCGGATGTAGTACGTCCGAATTCCATTCATACTTTCACATTCATACTGTATAGAACGTACTTTTCTAACGGCCGAGTAGTACGTTTAAATTCAAATACAGTACCTACTGAGTAGTAGACGGTTTCGGACGCAGCCTAAGAAATGTAGTTTAGTGCGGTAGGAGAAGCCACTGTGGCCTTTTCTCTTCTCTAATAAAGACAAAACTCAATTAAGTGTCAGTCATCTTGGCCTCTGAGATTGGCTGATTGGTTCACTTGTGTGTGTTTAATTAAAGTGTGTGTTTGTGTGTCTGTAGGTGTGTGACTGTGACCTTTGCTGACTTTGAACTGGTAGTGTGTGTAATGAGGGAGGTGTGTTTTGTTGCTGCAGGTGAAGCTGGTGCAGCACACATACTCCTGTCTGTTCGGGACGTTCCTGTGTAACAGTGTGAAGGAGCGAGAGGAGCAGCGCGTACAGGAGAAAACCTGCTCTGTTTGGTCTCTGCTGCGGCCTGCCAATCAGTCCTTCCACAACATCCTCTACTCTCCACGCTCAGAGACGGTACCATCATACACGCGATCTCAGTGCACAGCACAACACAACACAAATACATTAACAAACTAATATACTTAGATACTAAAAAACAAGGAAACATACTAACTAGCAAAAAAACAAACAAACTTAACAAGATACTAACTAATTAACATACTAACACACTAATAGACAAACTAGCAAACACTAACAGACATACAAATTAGCTGACATAACAAACAAACAAACACCCTAACAAACAAACAAACATACTAAATAACATACTAACAAAAACAAGCATACTAACTAACATACTAACAAACATACTAACTAGCTAAATTCTATACTATACATACTATACAAACAAACAAACATAATAACTAACAATTAACAAACTAACAAACAAACATACTAACTAAATTATATACTATACTAACAAACAAACATACTAACTAACAATTAACACACTAGCAAACAAACATACTAACACACTAACAAACATACTAAATAACATACTAACAAAGAAACAAACATACTAACTAACATACTAATTAACATACTAACACACTAACAAACTAACTAAATAGTATACTATACTAACAAACAAACATTCTAACTAACAATTACTACACTAACAAACAAACATACTAACCAATTAACATACTAACACACTAACAAACATACTAACAAGCTAAGTAAATAATACACTATACTAACAAACAAACATTATAACTAACATTTACTACACTAACAAACAAACATACTAACCAATTAACATACTAACACACTAACAAACATACTAACAAGCTAAGTAAATAATACACTATACTAACAAACAAACTTTCTAACTAACAATTACTACACTAACAAACAAACATACTAACCAATTAACATACTAACACACTAGCAAACATACTAACAAGCTAAGTAAATAATACACTATACTAACAAACAAACATTCTAACTAACAATTACTACACTAACAAACAAACATACTAACCAATTAACATACTAACACACTAACAAACATACTAACAAGCTAAGTAAATAATAAACTATACTAACAAACAAACATTCTAACTAACAATTACTACACTAACAAACAAACATACTAACCAATTAACATACTAACACACTAACAAACATACTAACAAGCTAAGTAAATAATACACTGTACTAACAAACAAACAAACATACTAACTAACAATTAACACACTAACAAACAAACATATTAACTAACACACAAACAAACATACTAATTAACTGACACCACACACACTAACAAATAAACATACCAGAATCAGAATCAGTTTTATTGCCAAGTGTGCTTCACACACACAAGGAATTTGTTTTGGCTATAGAAGCTTCCAGTGTACATAAAGTGAAGAGTGACAACACAAAATAAATATGAAAAAAAAGACGATAAACATTAAACACTAAACAGAGATGCAGTTAGTCAAAAAGATCTGGATGTTAAGTTGTATGTACATATTTGTTATAAATATACAGGTTATACGGTGATGCGTACAAATGCAAATGGAGAAAGTATTGCATTGTATATTGATATAAGGTGCTGTGTACAAGTGCGTATGAGAAAGTATGGCGCATGTTTAATGCACCGTAGGGGAATATTTAACTGTTCATGAGGTGGATGGCCTGAGGAAAGAAACTTTTCCTGTGTCTATCTGTTTTTGTACTTGGTGCTCTGAAGCGCCGACCAGAAGGTAACACTTCGAACAGGTGGTGTGCTGGGTGCGAGGCGTCCAGAGTGATTTTGCGAGCCCTTTTACTCACTCTGGAAGAGTACAATTCTTGAAGTTAATGCTAGATACTATCGATAATAGATACTAACTCATTACTAACTAATTAACATATTAACACACAAACAAACAAGCAAACTAACTAACAGGCTAACTTAATAACAAACATACTAACTAATTGACATACTAACACAAAAACAAGCAAACAATACTAACTGGCCTGCCATCAGGTATTCCTCTCTTAACATGCCTCTCTCTCTGTCAGGTCTTGCGTCCTGTTTGTCACGTGAGGAATCTGATGTTATGGAGTGCTGTGTATTTGCATAACTCCGCCCCTTCCACACCCTCCGATGAGTCATGTGTGCCACAGTCCACTCCCTCAGCCTCACCCATAGACACACCTGTGAGCAGGTAAGTGAGGCGTCATGTTTGTGTGTACTTCTGTGCGCCGGTTTTCCTTTCACAAACACATTTTCCTTAGAAACCAGCTTAACATCCTAATATAACTTAACAATAACAGTTTACAGCTTACATCTTAATATATCATATACAGTAATGAATGTCTTAACGCATTAAGTCACCAATTATGCATGAAGTCACTTTTTAAGTCACTTGTTATGCATTAGGTCACTCGTTATGCATTAAGTCACTCTTTAAGTCACTCATCATGCATTAAGTCACTCATTAAGGCACTCATCGTGCATTAAGTCACTCATCATGCATTAACTTACTCATTAAGTCACTCATCGTGCATCAAGTCACTCATTATGCATCAAGTCACTCATCATGCATCAAGTCACTCATCATGCATCAAGTCACTCATCATGCATTATGTCACTTATCGTGCATTACATCACTCATTGTGCATTAAGTGACTCATCATGCATTAAGTCACTCATTATGTCACTCATAATGCAATAAGTCACTTAATAAGTCACTCATCATGCATTACGTCACTCATCGTGCATTACGTCACTCACTGTGCATTAAGTTACTCGTCATGCATTATGTCACTCATCATGCATTACGTCACTCATTGTGCATTAAGTCACTCATCATGCATTAAGTCACTCATTATGTCACTCATAATGCAATAAGTCACTTAATAAGTCACTCATCATGCATTACGTCACTCATCGTGCATTACGTCACTCATTGTGCATTAAGTTACTCATCATGCATTATGTCACTCATCGTGCATTACGTCACTCATTGTGCATTAAGTCACTCATCATGCATTAAGTCACTCATTATGTCACTCATAATGCAATAAGTCACTTAATAAGTTACTCATCATGCATTACGTCACTCATCGTGCATTGTCACTCATTAAATCACTCATAATGCAATAAGTCACTTAATAAGTCACTCATCATGCATTAAGTCACTCATTGTGTATTAAGTCACTCATGCATTGTCACTTATCATGCATTGTCACTCATCATGCATTAAGTCACTCATCGTGTATTTAATCACTCATGCATTGTCACTTATCATGCATTAAGTCACTCTTGTAATAAGTCACTTATCATGCATTAAGTCACTCTTCGTGTATTCGTGTATTAAGTTTCTAATTAAACATTAAGTTACTCATAATGCATTAAGTCCCTCAGTAAGGCACTCATCGTGAATTAAGTCACTTATTAAGTTACTCATCATGCATTATGTCACTTATTGTGTAATAAGTAACTCAATAAGTCATTTATCATGCATTTAGTCACTCATCGTGTACTAAGTAACTCATTAAGTCATTATCATGCATTGTCACTCATAGTGTACCAAGTCACTTATTAAGGCATTCATCATGCATTAAGTCACTTATCGTGTATTAGGTCAATCATTAAATCACTCATCATGCATTTTGTCATTCATTGTGTACTAAGTCACTTATTAAGTCACTCACCATGCATTAAGTCACTCGTTAAGTCACTCATCATGCATTTAGTCACTCATTGTGTACTAAGTCACTCATTAAGGCACTCATCATGCATTATGTCAATTATTGTGTAATAATTAACTCGTTAAGTCATTTATCATGCATTTAGCCACTCATCATGCATTTAGTCACTCATCATGCATTGTCACTCATCAAGTACCAAGTCACTTATTAAGGCACTCATCATGCTTTAAGCCACTTATCGTGTATTAGGTCAATCATTAAATCACTCATCATGCATTTTGTCACTTATCGTGTACTAATTCACTTATTAAGTCACTCACCATGCATTAAGTCACTAATCATGCATTAAGTCACTCATTAAGTCACTCATCATGCATTAAGTCACTCATTAAGTCACTCATTATGCATTAAGTCACTTATCGTGTATTGAGTCACTCATTAAATAATCCATAATGCATTAAGTCACTCGTTATGCATTGTAACTCATCAGTCATTAAGTCACTCATCATGCATTAGGTCACTCATCGTGTATTAAGTCACACAATAAATCACTCATGTATTTAGTCACTCATTGTGTACTAAGTCACTTATTAAGTCACTCACCATGCAGTCACTCATTAAGTCACTCATCATGCATTAAGTCACTCATTATGCGTTAAGTCACTCATCTTAACTCGTTAAAGACACTTGTCAGATTTTATTTAAGTGAGCAGGCAGGAGGTTGAATGATTTTTTACACAGCAGTAAAGCGCATGTTTTTAAGGGCGTGATGTGGAGCCAATCCGCGAATCACACACATTATGACGATGACCAATCAGAGTCACTTAAGGGCAGGCCTTTCAGAGGAACTAGGAAATATGAAAGTCGTTTTCATGTTAGCTAAGTAGCTGTGTATAATCAAAGTGAGATATATAAAAGAATAACGTGATTTCCTTCAAGTGAAACATAAGCACACATTGCTTTGCATCTTATAAACACAACCAAGCCTTAAAATTATATTCTAGACCACCCCTTTAAGTCACTCATCATGTACTAAGTCACTCATTAAGGCACTCATCATGCATTAAGTCACTCATCAAGTCACTCATCATGCATTTAGTTACTCATCGTGTACTAAGTCACGTATTAAGCCACTCATCATGCATTAAGTCACTCGTCATGCATTAAGTCACTCATCATGCATTTAGTTACTCATCGTGTACTAAGTCACGTATTAAGCCACTCATCATGCATTAAGTCACTCGTCATGCATTAAGTCACTCATCATGCATTTAGTTACTCATCGTGTACTAAGTCACGTATTAAGCCACTCATCATGCATTAAGTCACTTATCGTGTATTAAGTCAGTCATTAAGTAACTCATAAGGCATTAAGTCACTTATCGTTTATTAAGTCACTCATCATGCATTAAGTCACTCATCAAGACACTCATTATGCATTTAGTCACTCATCGTGTACTAAGTCACGTATTAAGCCACTCATCATGCATTAAGTCACTCGTTATGCATTAAGTCACTCATCATGCATTAAGTCACTCATCAAGTCACTTATCATGCATTTAGTTACTCATCGTGTACTAAGTCACGTATTAAGCCACTCATCATGCATTAAGTCACTCATCATGCATTAAGTCACTTATCCTGTATTAAGTCAGTCATTAAGTCACTTATCGTGTATTAAGTCAGTCATTAAGTAACTCATAAGGCATTAAGTCACTTATCGTTTATTAAGTCACTCATCATGCATTAAGTCACTCATCAAGACACTCATTATGCATTTAGTCACTCATCATGTACTAAGTCACGTATTAAGCCTCTCATCATGCATTAAGTCACTCGTTATGCATTAAGTCACTCATCATGCATTAAGTCACTCATCAAGTCACTTATCATGCATTTAGTTACTCATCGTGTACTAAGTCACGTATTAAGCCACTCATCATGCATTAAGTCACTCATCATGCATTAAGTCACTTATCGTGTATTAAGTCAGTCATTAAGTCACTCATAATGCATTAAGTCACTTATCGTGTATTAAATCACTCATTAAGTCACTCATCATGCATTAAGTCACTTATTGTGTATTAAGTCACTTATTATGCATTAAATCACTTATCATGTATTAAGTCAGTCATTAAGTCACTCATCATGCATTAAGTCACTTATCGTGTATTAAGTCAGTCATTAAGTCTCTCATCATGCATTAGGTCACTTATCGTGTATTAAGTCAGTCATTAAGTCACTCATAATGCATTGTCACTTATCGTGTATTAAGTCACTCATCAAGTCACTCATCATGCATTAAGTCACTTATTGTGTATTAAGTCACTCATTAAGTCACTCATCATGCATTAAGTCACTCATCATGCACTCATTATACTTTAAGCCACTCTTTCAGCCACTCATCATGTTGTTCAGCACTTAACTACTTTGCACAGCACTTTGGCAAAATTCTTGTTGCTTTAAATGTGTTTTATAAATAATTGTGACCTTAATATAATGTGAAGTATGTATATTTATGTGAATATGTAATTGTAGTGCTGGTAAAGTTTAAAAATTCACCTGGAAGGTGCTTGAAAATTGCTTAAATTTGACATTACTACCTGATTACATCAAATGAAGATTGCAATGTATTTGTAATCAAATCGTGAGACATTGTGTTTAAGTGTGTGATTTACACATTGATACATGTGTGTACTTTACAGGTTACCAAAGACTCGATCCTATGAAAACCTGTCCACATCGTGTGAGAATCTGACCCCGAACCGCCGCAGCAGTGACCCCAGTGTGAAGGAGAAGTGGCAGGATCACCTGCTGGCCTTGAAGATTAACGGAGAAAACACACACACATCACCTCTGCAACACACACTCGCCTTAAACACCACAGCAGCACACACACAAAAAACCCTGGAGCTTTCTGTGACTGACAGCCAAATAGAAAACACAGAACAGGAAGTGACAGAAGAGCTAAATAGGAAGCTGGAGCTTCTGTGCAGCACATCCGTTTCACAGGATTCATCATTAAATATGAAAAACAATGACCAAATATTTCCTGAGGACATTTCACACATAGACACTACATCAGCAGATGGATTACATCACAAAATTACCCATAATCCTTCACAATCCAGCAGCCAATCTTCCATGGAAAGCGATTCCAGTTCAAACCACACAGCTCAGAAGGTGCGTCTCAAATCACATACTTGCACACTACTCTGTCATTTTGTAGTATCGATAGTATATGCTAAAAGGAATAGTGCATTTCACTGCAAAATATGGTGTCTCTTTTCGAGCCCAAATATCTAAAAATGATTAAATCAAGAATCATTGAATGGGTGGGGCTACTGCAAAATGGGAGGGGCTACGTGTAAAGTGGAGTGGTTACCAAGTTAGATAATAGGGGAGCTAAAAGGGAAGGTGTAAGAGCATAGTGAATAAGTGTAGTTTATAAATGAATAGTGTATGAGTCCATGGTGATTAAGTGCATAGTGTGTAAGCGTATAGTGTGTAAGTGCATAGTGTGTAAGTGCATAGTGTATAAGTGCATAGTGTGTAAGTGCATAGTGTATCAGTGCATAGTGTGTAAGTGCATAGTGTATAAGCAAATAGTGTGTAAGCGAATAGTGTATAAGTGCATAGTGTATAAGTGCATAGTGTGTAAGC